CCATTGTTAGGCTGATGGTCCTTCTTGAGCATGTGATCAGCTGGTTTTGGTTGTCAGCAGCAAACTGGTTGATCCACTCTGAGAAGGTGCTATTTAAGAGACTGAGCTGAAAACAGCACCTCAGACTAAAGAAGTCTCTTGGATGAGAGACGAAACGTTTCTATATTTTTTTGCTTTGTTTTGTTTTTTGTTTTTTTGAATGTCCAGAGGACCAGATTGAACTTTTTTGGATTTTTCTACCTGGATTATTGAGCATGCATCAGGATATTTCATTTTTTTCGTTAACTTTTTATTGTACAGTATACAGTACTGTCCCAATCATTTGAGTAGTATTAAATTTGATAATCTTGTGTCGTGTACAATTGTTAATATTTTTTTTAAAATATGATTTGTGTGTTGAGAAACCGCGATATAGCAAGTTTGTTAAAGTTGAACCGCAAAGTAGCGAGGGACTACTGTATATCTCATTAAACCTTTAAGAAAGTACAACTAAGTACAGCAGATGTACAACTACCACTTATTAACTTTTGGAGCCAAGCTTCCACAGCAAAGTGACCTTTGGTATCACAAAACTGATTGTCAATCAATTTTAAAGAACTTAAGCGTAAATTTGGTGTGGTTGTAGCTGAGTCTTTCACAACACATTGAGTGCTTATAAATTTGACATTAACTACTGGCATTAACTATTGGCATTAACCCAGTTTGTCTGCAAAATATCTCACAATCCCAATGACCAATTTAATGAAATGCTCAGAAAATAATCAGTGAATGTACATCTGCAGCTTTTTCAATTTACCAATTTTCAAGACAGTCTCCACAGCTAATCAACATTAGCTAAAGCAAAAATGTCTCAAACCTATTCGGTTGTACCAATGTTAATCTAAAACTTGTTGTAGTAGTCGATGAGATTCCTTCACCCTATGGCTGCTTCAGCCAAGTGACTTTAGGAAACAAAGAAATGGTTATAACTCAGTCAATTTTACTAATATTTAGCTAAACTTTGTTGTGCTGGTAGCTGACAGTCTTCCTTAACACATACTTTGAGAGTCATTGCATCTCCCAATATGTCACATACAGTTGGTTTGGTTTATTTAAAACATCTAGAACTATGATAGCTATCATGTTTGCAGATGGCATTGTGATCTCTGGTGAGAACAGAGAAGATAACCTGGAGAGGTGGATGTATGCACTTGAAAGAAGAGACTGAAAGTCAGCTGTAGTAAGACTGCGTACGTGTGTGAATGAGAGGGAGGCCACTGGAACAGTGAGGCTACAAGGAGCAGAGGTCACAAAGGTGCAGGACTTCAAGTTTTGTTGTATGTACTTCATATGTTCTGACTGAAACAGGTCCCTCTTGTAAATGAGTCCCCGTGGCTCAATGAGGCTAGCCTGTATAAATAAAGGTTGAATGAATGAAAAAATACTTGGGGTCCACTGTCCATGAAAATGGGGAGTGTGGAAAAGAGGTGAAAAAAATAGTTCAGGCAGGATGGAGTGGATAGAAAAAAAGTTTCAGGATTGATTTGTGACAAAAGGGTGTCAGCAAAGGTCAAAGGAAAAGTTTACAAGGCAGTGGTGAAACTAGCTATGTTGTATGGTCTAGAGACAGAGACATGGAGAAGATGTTGAGGTTTTCCGTAAGAGTGACAAGGATGGATAAGATTAAGAATGATATCATCAGAGGTACAGCACAAGTTGAACAACTGGGAGATAAAGTTATAAAAGCCAGACTGAGATGGTATGGACATGTCCTGAGGAGGGACAGTGGGTATATTGGTAGAAGGATGTTAGAAATGCAGCTGCCAGGAAAAAAGACAAAGAGGAGATATCTGGATGCATTTAGAGAGGACATGGAGATGGCGTGAGGACAGAGAATGCAGAGTACAGAGTGAGTTGGAGGAAGATGACTCGCTGTGGAGACCCCTGAAGAAGAAACAGCCGGAGCAGAATTAAACATCTATATCTCTGTCATTTCCCATCTTAAGATGGTCATAGTTTAAAATGATGGTTTAAAAGGCAGCAGATAATCTGCATTCCTAAGGAATACTGGGCCTTGAACATCCATCCATCCATTTTCTTTACCCGCTTCTTCCTTTTAGGGTCACGGGGGTCACTGGTGCCCATGTCCAGCCATCACTGTGCCAGAGGCAGGGTACACCCTGCACAGGTCTCCAGTCCATCACAGGGACACATAGAGACAAATGAGACAAACAACCATTCACTCTCTCACTCACACCAATTTACCAATTGACCCTAGGTATTGTCACCAATCATCCTATCATGCATGCCTTTGTCTGTGGGAGGAAACCTTGGGAACCCCGAGAAAACCCATGCATGCACGAAGAGAACATGCAAACTCTACCCATAAAGGCCCCTGGATGGAATTTGAACTGGGGAAACCTGCTCGCTGAGAGGCGGCAACTCTACCAACTGCGCCACCATGCCGCCGCCTTGGAACATTTCTATAAAATTATTTTTTTTATTTCTGGACACGCTCTGTTTGGTAAACCATTTCGTCTATATTTCTTGAGTTTTTACTTATCATGTTCTCCACTGGTCTGCACTCTGGGTTCAATAGCCAGAGTGCAGACAGAAGCAGGGATCTCAAAGGTAAAATAAAGAAAGTAATTTAATAAATGGGGAAAAGAAGCTGATGTGGCAGCAAATGGGTAGTGGTGGCGCAGAGGTTAGAGAAGGTGGGCCTGTGATTGGAAGATCGCTGGTTCATGCTCCGGTACCAACAACATAAAAAATGTGGGTGGGATAGGTGAAGCACCCACACCTGCCCCCACCCTCATTCGTTCCACTCTGGGCCCTTGAGCAAGGCCCGTAACCCCCACCATCTGCTCCTCCGGGTGTCCTAGATAGCAGCTCTCTGCTCCACACAGAGGGCTGTGATAGCTCGGTGGTCCATGGTTGCGTCAGGAAGGGCATCCGGCGTAAAAATAACTGCCAAGTCTTCATGCGACCTAGTTCACTGTGGCGACCCCTAATGCAGGGAGCAGCCGAAAGAAGAAAAAAATTAAAAATAGAAAATGTGGCAGAAAATCTTTCAAGAATGGAGATCATAAGGAGAGACGAGGAACAGAGCATCAATGACTGTGGGAAGCAAAATACACGGACAAGGAGGAAACAGACGCTGAACTTAAAAGGATACTTACGAGACACAATGATGAACACCTGGGGTGATTGGGATTGGGAACAGGTGAAGAAACACGAGGAAAGAAAACATGGGAAGGCAGAACAGATGATACACAAAACACAAAAATCTAAAGAAAGAAACACGACAGACACAGATTGTCACATTACTCAACATTTTTATCTTGTTCACAGGAACATGATTCCAGTGAACTTGATTAAGGCTTGCTTTGAGCAGGTAAGTTTTAATTCAAGCCTACACCTCACTGTCTAACTTCTCCTGTCCTGTTAGTGAAACAAACACTGCTTCTTTTCATAGTACAAAACCGAGAGGGTGGTAGTTGAAGTTGAGGAAGATGACCCCGATACTGGTCTGCCAATGGTAAATATTTTCTCCTGGTCATTGTTTAGTTTACCATCTTATAAAGCTTTATTCAACAGTGCAGACGTGTTTGTATTCTTTTTGCAGAATGTTACAGAAGTGCGATGGGTAGATGATTATGTTTCTGGAACCAACATGGTGGGCCTAATTGTCTGGGCTTTCATTTCTGGCATCTTGCTTGCAAAGATTGGAAAAGAAGGAGAAACATTTGTGGAGTTCCTTAAACTCATCAACGAGGCAGTGAAGATTATGGTTATCTGTATCCTGTGGTAAAACCCAAAAAACCATATCAACCGTGATATTTGATCATAACGTGTACCTAAATCTCGAGTTAAATTAGGAATCCAAGAGTCTTTTTGATTTCAATACTGACATTAAAAGTTGTTGTATTTAGCTGCCTGAAGGGATTTTAGAATTTTTTTTTAGGTTAGATTCAAAGTTTAATTTTTGGAGTTGTTACACGTACATAAAGCAGCTGTTGTATTTCCTCAGCAAATAGTAAAGTCAATCAAATTACTCTGCACTTTTTTTCTTCTTGGTTTGGGTTTCAGGTATTTGCCTGTCGGAGTGCTCTTCATGATCACAAGCCATGTGGTTGAGGTTCGTGACTGGGAATCCATCCTTAAACTAGGAAAGTTTGCAGTTCTGATTCTTCTTGGGTATGTTCAGCTTCACCATCGTAGCTCTGTTACAAAGTGACACCACTGGTTCTGATGGCACTGCACCCATCAACAGTAGCATCAAAATAACAAGTGGTATGCCAGTGTCCCCTGTCGCTTAGAAATGTGTGAAGTGACTGTAGTTTTCATGATGGTTTAGATCAGTGCCCTTCAACAAAACTGCTCAGGGGGCCACAGTTACTGAAAGCCAGCAGCTCAGGGGCCGGACATCCAGCAGTTAGTCATTACAGTGTTTCCCCTAGATAACTTGCCATGGTGGGGTGCTCATCTCGTCCGTGATTTTTGTCCCGGGGGGGAGGACGATGGATGGAGACACGTCCTGAGCCGCGCAGTGCACTGTTTAAACCAACAGTTTCAGAGGTGGGGGGAGCGACAGAGACACAGCCACGCGCTATTAGCACCAATAGTTTTACAGTTTTAGAGCAGGGTGGAGGAGTACGGTGGCACTAAGGTGTAAATGAACATTTGAAAAAAATGGAATTTGTCAAAAACAACAAAAACTACAAAATCACAACATTTGAAAAAAACTGAATTACATTTGAAAAATAAAGTAAATAATAACAATAATAATAATAATAATAATAATAATAATAATAATAATCTGTGATGGACTTGCGACCCGTCCAGGGTGTACCCCGCCCCTCGCACAGTGATTGCTGGACATGGGCACCAGCGACCCCCGTGACCCAAAATGGAATAAGCGGGTAAAGATAATGGATGGATGAATGGATGGATAATAATAATGAATAACAATAATAAAGTTAATAAAGTAAAAAAAAAAAAAAAAACTTCCTGTTTGGCTTAATGTCATGCCATATATAGGGGCGGCTGTGGCTGAGTGGCTAGACCAGTCGACCTCCAATGCAAGAGTTGGGGGTTCAAATCCACCAGCAGTCACATGCCTAAGTGTCCCTGGGCAAGACGCTGAACCCCTAGTTTCCTCCGATGTGTGTCCCATCGGTGTATGAATGTGATAAAAGCACTGATTAGTCTCTTTAGAATGATTTGTTCAATTAGCTTTGTAGAGATCAAATAGAGTGCTGTATGAATGGGTAAATGAGGGCACAGATTGTAGTGTAAAGCGCTTTGAGTATCTCAAGTATCTCAATAAGATAGAAAGGCGCTGTATAAGTACAGTCCATTTACCATTTATTTATATATGTAGATGAACAGATGCTGAGATATATTCATCAATTAAAACGGATTCTTTCATTTTTCTGGACTGTACATAAAAGTGCATTGAATTTAATAAAATGTAACGTGAGACGTTATTTATCTTTGACCCATCAAAATGAATGTGGTCATTTATTTACAGAATCAAAGTTTAACATCAAACATTTACATTAATTTGGCAAAATATGAAAATAACAACATAATTAATCAGCTTTACAGGTAGTGAGAAACAATACGGCGATTGTTTCACTTTTCAGCAGAACAGCAGACATCAAATCACACGGCGGTGATTGAGAACATTGCTTCAGACATTTCTAAAAATATCTGTCAATGATTTCTACTTGATAGAAGAATTTTTAAAGATGGAAAGATGAAGTTTAGTGGGAGTGAAAGATGGATGAGGGAGAATGTGGTGTGTATGAGTGAAAAGTGTTGACAGGACGACACCCTCCATCCGACCCAGCTTTCCTCGGTACGCTCGGTAGTGGACTAGACTCATTTACCTCTCTGACGATGAATCAGCGGAAGAGGAGCTCCAGTTAACGCTACCTTTCAGCGTCTCCGTAGGATGGCAGAGATATATCCGGAGTGGTGATGGGACTTCGTCAACAACAGTTCACCTCAACGGGTGGACTTCACATGAGTGGGGTTCTTCAGAAGTTCCACTCAGAGGTGGAAGATGTTATAATCCCAAACTCGGAAGAGCCTTATCATGGCTGGACTTCTGTTCTCCCAAACGACTGGAGCTGCAAACTCTCCAGCCCGACTCCAACGGCAACTGCGACCCAACAGCAACTCACAGAACAGCCACTTCACAGAACAGCCACTTCACAGAACCCTTCACTGAACTGGGAGAACTAGGAAGTACCGACATTTTAAAGAGCTCTATTTCCGGTTCATTTGGGAGTCCCTGATTGGTCAATGTCGACCAGACAGGGGTGTGTTTTGTGACGTAAGAGGTTACTAGAAGTCAGAAAACAGCAAGAATGTTATTGGAACAGATTGAAAATGTTCCCCAGACAGGCGAGAGAAATGTTTGGGCGAGTTTGGAGAAACAGGTGCCAACTTCTCTGTTTACGTCTGAGAGGATTTAAAAACAAGACAGTTGTTCCAACACTTGTCTGCTTCGGCTCCGACCTTGGAACAAACGTACACTGCTCATTCAAAGACAGAAAATCAGAAAATGCATAATTACTCTGTAACAGGCCTTAACATGAATTCTAACTTTGCATAAGCAACTAAAAAATCATTGTTACTGTTTTACAGTTAATAAAATTGATTAGTTCACTGTAACATCTAAAATGTTTGAACTAAAACACTTTGATTATCAAACATTTGTAAAACAGTAATGATAATAGAAAAGAGAGTGTTCTTTCACTTGAATTTTCAAGAAAGAAAGTCTCAGGATGGGTGAACCTGTATTTCTGGATTCAAATCAATGAAATGACAGTTTCTGTCCCACAAGGTTCTTAAGGTCAAGGGTTTTGACCTTAGGTCAAGTTCACTACAGTTATATATATATATATATATATAATCTTTTTTTTTTTAATGAACTCATTCATTCAACCGTTATTTAGACAGATTAATCCCATTGAGCCTCGAAGACTCATTTACAAGAGAGACCTGATTTCAACAAAGAATGATGACACAATGGACAACAATGACAACAATATCTAAAAAAGTTAAATCTGGTCCTCTGGACATTCAAAAAAACAAAACAAAGCAAATCAACAAAAAATTGTAGAAACGTTTCGTCTCTCATCCAAGAGACTTCCTCAGTCTGAGGAGCTGTATTCAGCTCAGTCTCTTAAATAGCACCGTATCAGAGTGGATCAACCAGTTTTGCTGCTGACAACCAAAACCAGCTGATCACATGCTCAAGAAGGACCATCAGCCTAACAATGGATCATTAGCACACTGATGGCTGTTTACTGTTCACAGAGGGCTGAGTGATACTAGCAATTACAGCATTGTAAGAGGGGGACAGTTGAACCCGGAGGCCTCCACCCCTGTTTAATGATGGACGATTTCTTTTCACAAAGATGGCCTCCTTTACTCCTCTCTCAAACCATCGTTCCTCTCTGTCCAGGATGTGAACATCTTCATCCCTGAAAGAGTGACCGCTGGCCTGGAGATGAGTGTAGACCGCAGAATCCTGGCCTGATGATGTTGATCTTCTGTGCTGGGCCATCCTTTTGGCCAGTGGCTGTTTTGTTTCCCCGATGTAAGACTGATCACAGCCCTCCTGACACTGAACAGCATACACAACATTACTCTGTTTGTGCCGGGGGACTGGATCTTTGGGATGAACCAGTCTTTGCCGTAATGTATTTTGGGGTTTAAAAGCCACTGGGACATTATGTTTAGAAAATAAACGTCTCAGTTTCTCTGATACTCCCTCAACATATGGAATGACCACTGGCCATTTTTTACATCTTCTCGTGAGCTTGATGTATTTATCCACAGAGTTGATGTGGTCAGTAAAATGTTGGACTTCCTGAGATTTAATTTTAACCCAGATGTCGTCAACATACCTGAACCAATGACTTGGTGGTGTCCCTGAAAAGGACGTCAAGGCTCTCTTTTCTACCTCCTCCATGTACAGGTTGGCAACAATAGGAGAAACTGGAGACCCCATAGCACACCCATGTTTCTGCCTATAATATTGCTCCCCATAT